TATACTGGATCTAAATTTGTTGGAATGAGCCAAAAATCACATTAAAAATACCAAGTTGTAAGTCTAGACACTTCAGGAACATAAATATTACTGTATGACTATGGATTTTCTTTCCAAGATACTCATCAAAGAACACAATATATTTTTCACTATTAGTTAACAAGATACAATCTGACAGCAGCTCTCTCTGCTACTACAGATTCTTAGAAATTACTTATCCTAGGGTTTTTTTTAAAAAAAACGTTTCCAGTAACTATCAAGATAATTAATAGAAGTTTCCATCCTCATTCTGAAAATTTTAGCTATAAAAAGAAAGTGTCTGCCTTTTAGAGACATGTAAAGAAGGAATTCGGAGAGTCTCCAAATAATCATATGCACTTCACATAGCCATGGAACTTTTCATTTAACTTTCTTTTATACATTCTTCATGAGCACTTACATCGTGCAAACAGTAAATGCGCTGCAGGTTTTTCAGTGCAAGATATAAATTAAATAATTAAATGTGTTTTTGAACCAAAAGACCCATATAGCTAATACCTGTTGTATTATCTATGTGATGCTCTAGTCTGGGTTTGTTCCCATGGAACCCATCTCTGCTGGGAGGCAGGTAATTGTGTTACCTATGATTGGATCACATCACTGATAAAAGAGGAGAATACACATCTCTACGACCACAAATGGTAGATGACCATAGTCATCTACCTGGAGAAAGTCCCACTTAATCATTGGGCCTTATTTCTGAATAATTAGTACAAGATTACAATATACATGAATTACTGCTCTAGGCTCAATTGCTTCCAATAACTCCAGATGGACACGTACCTCTTATCCATCAATTCACTTTAACAATTTCTAAACTGCCCTTTATTTTGGCCGATTCTAGGGCAGTGTAGTGTAATAAAAAGCACAGAACAATATGTGCCATGCAATGCATCACATTATCTTTCACATAAAATATGAAATGAAGAGGCAACAAAATGATAAACTGTAAGACTAGACATGCTGCAGAAGTACTTGGAGGGGAGAAAAAATTGCTCCCATGACAGGCAATTCCTACTTTTCAGTACACTATTAGTTCACCTTTCCAGATGTAAGAAGTGTGCCTCCATGTATAATTTAGAAAGAAATGGGAACACTAGCTATTAGCAGTTTGGGTTACACTGACATAAGCTTGGTTATTTGGTCATCATCGCGTCAAAGACATTTTCAAAGGAAGTCTATAAATATTTGTATCTCATCTTTCCAGACACAAATGTCTACTCAAGGTGGTTCACTCTGTCTTTTCAATAACATTTAAAAATCAAGAATAGAATATATAATCAATGCCAGTAAGAAAATACATCACAGGAATGCAAGGGTCAGGAAACTCCAACCTTAGATATCACTAAACTCAAATTTCATCAGCTTCAGTTATCATGGTTAATGGTCAGAGATAATGGGAGTTACACATAAACATTTCAATGGTTGCTGATTATCTACTTTTAATCTAAGGCCAAACTAGACATGACAGAAATCCAGTTAGTATTACATCATGTCTGGTCCTTGGAAAAGACATTTGCCCTTCTCTTACACATAATTTCGGGCAATATGACAATTGTTTCTTGCAGTTTTCTTAAGTACCAGCAAACTTAAAAAGCAAAACAAAATCTGCTGCCCTGTTAATTGGGAGGACCTCTTTCAATAGTTAAATGTTCTAAGCTTTTTCTTTCTTTGTTTTATAGTCTGTCTTTCTCCTGATAAGGTAACACAAAGTGGCTCACAGTATCTAAAAAGAATAGAATTGAAAACACCGTGAGGTATACATTAAAATACCAAGTAAAATATAAAACTAATTAGAATACACAGAATAATTTTAACAGTTAAGTAGTAAAACCATCTTAACTAAAAATGGCACTTAGGGACTCAGTCATGATTGTTAAAAATTAATAAAACAAACTAATTAATTGAGCAACGAACTATGCACCCTAACTGCAATAAAAACTTTTTTGTGTTAACTGCCAGTTGGAAAGTATGTCTCATTTTTCTCTTGTGACAAAGAAAACGCACTTGCAAATACAAACCCAACACAATTCACTTTTATGAAATGACTGTAATGAAACTGATATACTTAAGAGGCCAAAATTTCACTCGGGAATTCCAAGTCATGCACAAAGCTGGCACGCAATGAGGAATCCTATGAGGGACCACAGCAGGGACTTTTAATTAGTTGCATCTGCTGCTGCGGAGACATAATTTCCCCTATGTCAAGATTTTGGCTAGAGTTTACAAGAATTACTTTTTGGATTACAAGTGCCAGAATCTCCCAGTCACTGTGGCCACCGGCTATACTGCCTGGAGGAGTCTAGCAGCTTTCAAAAGTAACTTTCCTAAGCTCCAGAAGCCCATTTAATTAGATGAGACCATGGATCATAAACAGCTCAAGGTCAAATGCTTTACAGATCATTGTTTGCACGTTGTGCTGTTTTGTTTAGATCATCGTCCATAATGAGAATATGCACATGTGTTGATTCCTGGAGGGATTTTGGGGTGGGTGAGAAACCAGATAACTGAGTACTCCCAGACAGAAAGGAACATGGATATGTTTCATTCATGAGGGTCAACATCTCAGTCTAGTGCTAACATCCTGCTTTCTTGGCAGTTAGTGCACATTAACTTCTGTGGTAGCTGAAAACAGAAAAATAAAGAAAAGAGAAGCTTCATGAAGCCGTCTTCTAAAAATATGGGAGAGGAAACTCCTCAAAACCGCAGTCAACACAAGACAGCTGGGAATGCTAAAACTGAACATTTCCACTTTCATGTAGGCCTAGGCTTTTTGTATTACGGACTGTGTAAAAGCTTTTCCATTTTGGTAATATCTCAAAAGTAAGCCACCAATTTTCTCTGATTAGAGACGGCTGTCCAAGCTCTTATTCCTATGAGAGCCAAAAAAGCTACAGAGACTATAAAGTCTCTTTATACAAGTTATTCTTTTATCAAACAAATCTGAAGATCTCAGATGACTAATCACCATTTTGGCAGAATGACCTGAGTGAACAACAATCAACCAGCACACTCGGGATTGAGGATTCTAAACTAAATATTAAATAGCGGGAAATGTGAACATGTTTCCCAATCAGAAATGCCATAAATATCTGTAATGCTGGCATACTATAAGGTGTGTATGGCTGAACTTCCATAATGGCTGATATAATGTTTTTTGCTACACAAGGGTTCTCACAGACTCTTACACTTTTAAGAATTTTAAACAGTCATTACAAGAACAAAGAGTATTGTGGCAATTAATTATGATGTGATCTTTCAAGCCTACAAAAGCTTATGCCATAATAAATTATTTGGTCTTCACAGTACCATAGTGCTTATTAAGCTGCAACAGACCAGAATGGCAACCCTCTGGATTTTGTTATGTTAAAAGTAGTCCATATCATTCTTATAGGCCTAAGACATTATTCATATCAGATGTAGACTGGGGTTCAAGAAAAGAATGCATATCTCATCCCACAATTTTGGGATGAGGCATTTCACCTCTGGTCAGCCCATGGGGCAGTTACGATTCACACAACCATTTCAGACAATGGCAGCCATGGATTTTGTCCAGCATGCGTGGATTTCAAAATAGCCAATTGTTTGACAAGCTAATTAAAGACTCACTAACCCATATATTAAATTTGCCTTTGGGTGATAAATGACAACAAAAGCAAAATCTAGATTAATTTCAACATCTTCTTAAAGAACTTCCTTGAAGTATGTTTGAATAGTTACCAAATTTCTGTGTCAAGATCAATCACCTGATCTTCCCTGATTGGGATTCAATTCAAATGATCTTGATTTTCCCATCTTCATTAGATCCAGTCTCCTAGAGACCTTTACAGAAAGAAGCGGAAAGAATGTCCATGGTGGGCCATCATTTGTTCTTGGAATTGTATCATGGGAGGAGCTTTTGCCTTATGAACCAAACTCTGTTACAGTTCTGGTGCTGCTGCCCACTTAAGGCTTCATGTATAATTAAGTTGTATAGTGGTGCCTTGACTTACGAACACCCCTACCTATGAACATTTCAACTTACGAACAGCTCCAGTCGCAAAATTTTGCTTCTACTTGCGAAAAGAGCTTCGACGTACGAATAGAAAAAGGCGGGAAATTCAAACCGTTGGTGGTGAAGAGGCTGCTTCTTTGTAGCTCTTTTGCCCCAACGGTTAGAAAAAGGGAGGTTCAGCCTCCCGGGATTCCACCGCCACCAGCGGGAGGTGAGCGGCCGGAGCATCCTGGCCATGCTCAGCCTCCTGGGCTTCCACTGCTGCTGCCTGGCCCGGGCTTCCACCACCGCTGTGACCGCCACTGCTAGGAGGCAAGCCGCCTCCTTCTGGCGGCGGTGGCGGAGGCAGCAGTGGAAGCCGAGGAGGCTGAGCCCTGCCAGGATGGTCCAGCAGCTCGCCTCCTGGCAGTGGAAGCGAAAGCCCAGGAGGCTGAGCCCAGCCGGGGAGTGAGTGCGATCAGAGGCTTCGGACTGGTGAGGCAAGGTGCTGCTTTTTGCTTTTTAAAAACTGTTTTTGGTGGCTTTTGCAGGGTGGGTTTGGGCTGGAGGGGTTATGTTTCTGTGCTTTGTTGTTGTTGGGGTTTTTTGTGAGTTCCCTTACCTTTTTCACCTTGAAAAGGCTCACTTTGAAAGGTCTACTCTGACTTTGGACATATCTCCATGAGATTTTTGTGGCAACAAGGAGAGACAGAGTCTGATCCTGAATTTCCCACCTTGTTTCTGCTACATAACTCCATTTAGTAGAGCCCAGTAATTGCACATATGGGCTTACTGACAGAAACACAGCTACATATAGTACAGAGATCAACAAGTTCCCCCATGTTGAGCCAGAAAATATTTCACAAGGTGACCTGTTTATCATAAGTAAATGAATTATGGTTTTCATTTAAATGAAGAGGGGTTTTTTTGTTCCAAATTCAATGCATCCTTCATTATTAAAAAAAATCATAAATTAAGATATTCCTACCTTAGGGCCTTCAGGGCCATTCAGACCAGGAATACCAATATCTCCTGGAAAACCCTAGGACCAAATAAATAAACATACTTAAGACCAACAATTCTGTAGATAAAATGTTACATTCTTTTATATAGTTTTTAACCAACTTAATTATTTCCAAGCTTTACATTTTACAGTTTTTTTGTGGTTGATTAATTACATAAACAGAGCTTAACATCACATCAACCTCTATTCACATGTTCCAATTCACTCCAAGTGGTATAAATACAAAGGAGAATGCAATTTCAAGACTTATATCTCCCTATATACGTACAAACGTATCTGCCCTAAAAAATTAAATTACTTCCTGTTCTGAATTTGAAGTAAACAATTCCACCTATAAGCTCCCCAAATGAATGCCAGCTGTTGACAACCACATATAATTTTTTGTTGTCTTAGCAGAAATATATTCCGCTTTTCCTGAAAGGTATTTGTAAATCAGAATTTTTAAATTGATATAAAACTAAAATACAAATTCAATAATAACTACATACAATTACACATTACACATTGGACTATCCCCACCTGTGCCACCTTCATCCTTTGGACGAGGTGACCAGAAGTATCAATTTATATCCCTTTTCATCCCACACCTCTCCAAATATATATTGATTATTTTGCTGGCATATAGCCTTTTCCCTTCAAAAAAACATGCTCCAAATATAAATTCCATACATCTTTAAAATTGTTAAGACTTTACAATTTCTCTTATTTTCATTTCACATGTTAACTTATCATTAATTGCTAAACTCCACATTTCTTTATACGTACCAGCCTTCAAGATTAATTTGTCACTTTTCCAATTCTTTGCAAATATTAATCTTGCCACTGTAACCATGATAACAATTAACTCTTTCTGTTCTTTTTTAAGATGAGCATTCATAATTATATTTAGGAGGGCAATGACTGGTGATAACTGAATATAATATCTAGTAATTTTTCTAATTCCTTTAAAAACCAGTGCCCATTCATTCTTTCTTATTTTACATGTCCACCACATATACGTATACGTTCCTTGCTCCTTTTTGCATCTCCAGCATTGAGATAGTTTATTTTCATTTATTATATTCAATCTTACTAGAATAAAATACCATCTCCACGCTACCTTATAACAATTTTCTTTTACCCTTATAGACATATTATTCATTATTCTTTGTGACCATATCTTATTCCAATCCTCTCCTTTAATCTCTTCCTCAAAGTCCTCCTGCCACTGGTTTTTCATCATCACTTGTTCAAATCCAGAATGTACTAAAATCTTATAAATTATGCTAACTGTTCCCTTTCTTTTGTTTTCTTCTTCTTGATCTTATCTTTGTTTGATAATCTCAAATTTTGTTAATTTTCTAATTTCACCTATTTTTCTAGTCCACTCTCTTGTACAACTTTGCATTTGGAGTATATTTAACCATGATATTCCCTCTTCTTCCCCCAAAATTTCCTTTATTGTATTTTTATCTTTAGTCTTTTTCATCCAACTCCTTATTGTGTTTACCCCTTTCTCTATTAATACTTATTTAAGCTTAATTTTAAGAATGTTTGGGAAACTGTGAACCTCCACTACTTGTTGCAAAGGTGAGATAGATGGGCTCAATATATATCTATAATTATCCCAACACTCTAACACAGGGGTCTCCAAACTTTTCAGTATGAGGGCCACATAATATATTTTACAGATTTTCAAGGGCCAAAGGAGGGAAGGGGGACCCAAGTAATCCCCCACCCCTGCTGTCTTTTCAAGGACAGCAGGAGTGAGAGAACACTTGGGTCTCCCTTCCGTCCTCTTCCTATGCCCAGGCTGGATATAAAGGCAAGGTGGGCCAGATGTGGCTGTAGTTTGGAGACCCCTGTTCTAACATATTCATTAAAAAGGATTAGTTGTTCTCTTTATTTCTTCTAATTTTTTTCTTTTTTTAAAAAAAAAAAGGTCCTCCAATCTATCAGAGTATTTTGATATTTCTATTTTAGGTTTCTATTGTGTGCAATTACATGTGATATGTCTAAGCTGATTTGTGATGTAATATAATTTAATATTAAGTAGTCCAAGCCCTCCTTCTTTTTGTGGAATATACCATAACCTCTTATTGATTGCTTTGGAATATACCATAACCTCTTATTGATCCTTGTTCACTTGCTTCCATTGCAATACAGTGGGGTCTTGACTTGAGAACTTAATCCGTATTGGAAGGCGGTTCTCAAGTCAAAAGGTTCTCAGGTCAAATCTGCATTTCCCATAAGAATGCATTGAAAACCATTTGATCCATATCTGCTCTTTTCCGTCCATAGAAACTAATGGGAAGCTGCTATTCCGCCTTCGACCACTAGAGGGGGATAGTTTGTTTCTTTTTTTCTTAGGTCAAGAAAGGTTCAGGGAAGGCAGGGAAAATACAGTCCAAGCAGTACCAGGCAGTCTGAAGACTGTCTCCCAATCCACTCTCTAAACACTGGGAGGAGTGTGGAAGCAGACAGGCACCCTTTTCACTGGCCAACAGTTAACTGAAAGTTCACATTTTGCACTTTCCCTGCCTCCCACGTGATTTTTTTCAGTTCTTAACTCAAATCTAAGTACTTAAGTCAAGTCAATATTTTCCTATGAGAGCCGTTCTTAAGTCAAGACCCCACTGTAATTGTTTAGTAACTTTTGCCAGTCTTTCAAATATGTTTCTCCCTTCTTTATTGGGAGCATCCAAAATACAAAATTAAGTTTATGGATAATCTTTATTTCACATAATGCTATTCTACCAAACCATGACAATTTAAATTTTTGATACTGATTTATCTGTTCATTAATTTATTTCTTCAATTTATCCATATTTAATTTAATCATTTCTTGTAAATTCCATGTGATATAGATTCCTGAGTATTTAAATAGATTTTCTATTTTTCCTTTAAATTCTTTTTTCAATCCCTTCTTATCTACTTCAGAATAATTTAATAAAATACATTTGGATTTCTCCCAAGTCACTTTCAAACCAGTTATTTCTTCAAATAAATGGAAATGTGTTCTGATTTTCTGCAACGTATCTTTCAGATTTTTAATTGTTATTAATAATTTGTCATCTGCAAAGAGATTTAGTTTATCCTCCTCTCTTCTATCTGCACCTTTAATTGAACGATCATTTCTGATTACTTGTGCCAGCACTTCTATTACGAATGTAAATAAAACTGGAGATAATGGGCAACTCTGTCTTATTCCTCGGCCTAGGAATATTGATTCTGTCGTATGAGCATTTATTATCATGTTTGCAGAATTCTGTGAATATAGTTGTTGCTTAATCAATATTTTTAATGCATCCCATTCAATTGAGCCAAAGGCTTTAAAAATATTTAGGGATATGACTCCTGCCTTACATTTTGATTCTTTTGCCAGATGCATTAGATTAAGAACCTTTCCCATTGTATTTGACGTGTGTCTACCTTGTATGAATCCATTTTGATCTTTTTCAATATGTTTCCCAACGGAATTGTTTAATCTTGCAGCCAAAATTTCTGTAAATATTTTAGCATCTTGATTTATCAGTGAACTCAGCCTGTAAGATTCCATATTTATAGGGGTTTTACTCAATTTTAAAATTAAAACTATTAAGGATTCTTTCCAGGACTGAGGAATTTCTTCTCCATTTAGTATACTATCAATATGTTCTGTAAATTTTGGGATAAGAATTTTTTGAAAGTTTTGTAATATTCTGGGCCTAGTCCATCTGTGCCAGGTATCTTCCCTGCCTTTAATTTATTTATAATAACTTCTATCTCTTCCTCTGTAATAATTCTCTCCATTGTTTCTCTGTGCTCGTCTGGTAATACCTTTTTAAAATTATTTTTATATATTCTTCAATCTTTTCTATAGAAGAATTCTTACTTGTATTTGTAAAATATGAAAGTATACTTGTCTTTATAATTGTTTTTGAAAAGCTTCTACCTTTTCTTTCATACTATTACATCCCCATTCTGATTTTTTATGATTCCTATATTACTCTTACTTTTCGGGGGGGGGAATGCTTTAGCCAAAAGCTTCACATTTTTATTACAAAATTCAAAGTAATCCTTATTTAAATATATTAGATCCCTCTGAACCTTTTCCATATGTATCCCTTCTAGTTCCTCCTTTTTAGCATGTAATCCCAACATTATCTTCTTTTTATTTGCGAAAGCTTTCACAGCCGGGATCTAATTGTTGTTGTGGGTTTTTTGGGTTCTTTGGCCGTGTTCTGAAGTCTCTGTGTCCGGCATCTTCAGAGGACTGCAGTAGGAACTCTGTCCTTGCTCTGTTGCTGTTTGTTGGATAGTTGAATATTTATAGCTACTCAACTATCCAACAAACAGCAACAGAGCAAGGACAGAGTTCCTACTCCAGTCCTCTGAAGATGCCAGCCACAGAGAATGGCGAAACATCAGGAAGAACAACCTTCAGAACACGGCCAAAGAACC